ACACACACACACACACACACACACACACACACACACACACACACACACACACACACACACACACACACACACACACACACACACACACACACACACACACACACACACACAACTCCAATATGGCAAGGTCATGTGACAGCTTGTCACACACTCACATCCTAAGATCAGAAAGTACCACGAGGACTAACAAACATATTTTCAAAACTGTCTAAAGTGCTTTTTGTAGAAATGTTCTTCTGACAGATCAGATTTTTCCCACACAGCCCCTTCTTTAAGATGACTGATGATCACAATGCACAGATGTCAGTTAAATGCATGAGGGATTACACACACACACACACACACACATATACACACACGCCTCTGCTTCTCTTTGGTCTTTTGTTGACTGCAGATGCTGAGGCAACATCTACTCATCCTCTTCCTGCCTGTGTATGTGTGATTTGTGCATCTCCATGTGTCTGTTCATTTGTTTATGTGTCTGGTGCTCTGTTTGCAATAACACGATGAAAAACTATGACAAGAGAGTCAAGAGGATGTTTGGGGAGGCCAAGACAGCAGGAGCCCATACGAGACTGAAGTGAGACAAAAAAAAGTGGCCACATCATCAAGCTATGAAGCTTGCAGTGACTGAGCAGCCGGACGCTTCTGGAAACTCTTCTGTGTGCAAGCCCTGCATGCAACAGGAACCCAGAAGCTCCAGACTTCACCGTGCACTTAAATAACACACTTATGAACCTGCTGTTTGTTGGAGAGGCTGTTATTGTACACAGAGCAGTAACCATGACAACAGAGATCTTTCACTATCACATGCATGAAGCTAAATGTGCTTTTTTGCTTTTGCACTTTGTCATTTCAAGACGACTTTTCACTCACTTCTCTCTTTAGTTATCCTCTGTTTCCTTCCACATTGATGGTTTCATCATGTCAAGATTGCATCTTTAGAAAAGCAGATCTCCTGCCAGCTAAAGCGGTGAACTTGTGTTCAGGTTCAGGAATTGTCCAGATGGTAGCTAATTTTATTATGTAAAATAAATAAATTAAATAAATAAAAAGGAAAGTGTTTCCTTTGATTTAAAAAGCATAAACCTTCACCGACCTTTCACCTATATGCTAGAAAAAAACTTCTAAAGCTTAAAAGCATTAATATTTAATCTGTCCCTAAACTTTTTAAAGAACCTTCCACTAAGACCGTTTATAAGTTTTCCAAAAATAAATTGTTTTCATTGATTAAAAAAAGAAAACCTTTCAATATTATTTTGTTCTTTTAAATATTAAATGTTGGTAAAAAAAAAAATGGTTTGAATCATTATTTTAATTTTAAACTGCTGTGTATATTTTAATCTGACACAAAATTAATGAAACATGAGAACAAGACACAAAAATACCTAAAGGGTCCAACTACTTGTTTCTTTAGCACTTAATCTAGTAAAAGTGGCTTTAAAAAGATACTTTATCTGTGGTCTCTATGGTTGTAGGATTATAGCTGTTTGAAACTGTTGGGAGTTTTTATTTTTATACTATTTTATTGGAAGCCAGGTCAAGTGCCATGCTTTGCAGGAATCTGGACCAAGGAATGCAGACTGACTCAAGGAGTTTGAAATAGGACCTAAAAATCAGGTCTCACTTGTAAATGAGTCCCCAAGGCTCAATGGGATTAACCTGTCTAAATAAAGGTTGAATGAAAAAATATT